CAAAATCCCAGGTGGCTGAGGTAACATTGGCTAAAGTTTCATTGTCATTGTCTCCCATGAAAGGGGAAAGTCCACTGACCCTGAGGTTTAAAAGAACAAGAGCATTTCAAAATTATCGAAGTTTTGAGTTTAAAACCCTATGAGGAACACACATATTTATTATCTGCAAATCTATACATCCAACAGTTGTATGTACACAAAGGTAAACACAATGCTTCCAAAATCTCCCTGTAGGCAAGCTGCAGGAAAAACATCATAATGTGATGTGTCCCCTGCTAGTCAGTGTTGGGTTTGAAATCTGTCAACTGCTGAACAAAAATAATAATTCTATTTTTCACCCACTAGAGGGAACCAAAAAACTATGATGGTCTCTTTTTTTAGTTGTGGATGTTTTCCCTCAACAGAAAGTACTTACTAAGAGCATACACAAAAGCAATGTACGTCATTACTAGCGATGAAGGGGGAATTTATTTGCTCCAGACCAACCCAATTCAACATTCCCAAATTTGCTTAAAACTATCAGTTGGATTATGTGCTTCTTCATATTTAGTACTATGGTTTTGGCCCCCAAAGCTTTTCAACAAAAACATGTATTGTACAGTTGTGTCAGAATTTTAGGGGGAAATTCATTGAACTGCATTGAGCAATGTGTATTTTACAATAAATGCATACAACTTACATGTGGATTTTTCATGCTTTTTATATATGAAGTCTGCAAAGAATGGAACAGAATGGGCCTATGATTGAGCACCAGCAAAACTGACACAGAATAAAGGTAAAGGTAAAGAAGCCCTGGATGGTTAAGTCCAGTCAAAGGCGACTATGCGGTGTGGTGCTCATCTCACTTTTCAGGCTGAGGGAGCCGGCATTTGTCCACAGACAGCTTTCTGGGTCATGTGGCCAGCATGACTAAACTTCTTCTGGCACACGGGGGACCGTGATGAGTGCCAGAGTGAATGGAGTACATTAAGTGCATTAAGGTAGCCAATCCATCATGAGACATTCCTGTGGCAAGCCAACGCATATTCTGAGGATTAGTGTTCATCCACGATCAAAGCACATCAATGCTGATTCTGTCTTGTGATGATACAAACCTGACCGTCAACATTTAAGGTGGTTTCAAATGCAGTGGTGTGTTATGTGGGTCTCAGGAAATATGAAATCCAAAACTGGTTTAAAAATACTTCCAGGAAAAGCAAGTATTTATTTCTCTAATTGGGAAGTGGAAGAACAGGAAGTGCATGAGGGGAGATTGCTGGAACTTTTAATGAAGTTTATCCCTAAAACATTTCCATCTTTATCACAGATCTTCATGCCCCAGTGCTCTGATCTCAGCTTTAAATAATAGCCATGTAAAGCAATAATGGAACAAAATTTTGACAAATTATGGAAACAATTTCCTTTCTGCAGTACTGAAGTCAGAGTGACAAAGATGAGCTGTGTCTGCTTCGGAGAAATTATTTGGGGTTGAAGCTATACAGTTACTATTACAACTAACACTGAGATGTTTACTGGAAAGATTTTTTCCAGCTACTTAGATCAGGCATCTTCTTGGCAACGTAACCTTAGGCATAGTTAAGTTTCTAGAAGCATCCAGGGCCAGAACAAAGCTGTGTTTCCCTTTCAAAAATACTACGGTAAATCTGAATAAGCTACTCTAGCATTAGGATTGCAGCAACCCCAAAAAGATGTTTTTCACTGCAGCTGGCTGTTAACCAGAAGGTGGGAGGTTCAAGCCTACCCAGGGACAGCTGTGGACAGGATTCCTGCATTGCAGGGGGTTGGATTAGATGACTCTTGGGGTCCCTTCCAATTCTACAATTCCATGATTCACTGCCCTAACATTGGCTCTGTAGGTAAGCAGGAAACCAAGAGAGTGTGCATGGCAAGCCCAAGACATTTTGCTGCTTGACACAATGGTCTCTTGATGTTTGTTTTTAATTTATTTTTGCTTTTAACTGGTTTTTAACCTTTTATGACTTTCTCCTTTGGTTTTATGTTTTTATATTGTTGTAAAAATTACTGTGATATATTTTTACAATGCAGAGGTAAGATGAATCAAGAAAAGTACTTGTCTAAATGACACTGGACAAAGTAATTTGGCTACTGGATTGCTAGGGATTTTTATTACTTTATTCTTTTATTATTACTATACAATATTTTTACAAAAATCTCACAGTGGTCAATTGCAGCTACTGGTAGCTGAATTCCAGGAAGCAACTGTGAAATTTGTTAATGAATATATCTGTGGAATAAGTTGAAAAACCATTAGCATAATTAAGAGAATATATAACATTCCCTTAACGTAGCTAGAGTATTAACACACCAATAGGTGACTCTGAAGAAAGAGCAAGGGTGGGTTGGGGAAAATACTCTAGAATCAAATAACCCTACTGGAAATGTCTGGCTCTGTTGCAGCATATAGGCATGGGAATGCAGGTAACAAACATAGGAGATAAGTATCAGTGAGACTGAGAAATGGTCAAGATTTGGCCCAGCAGCAAGTACTCACAAGATGTAGCAGATGACTCCTATGCTCCACATGTCTGTAGCATACCCAATAGGCTCATAGTTTATCACTTCTGGAGCCACAAACTCTGGTGTCCCAAAGAGGACTTTAAGAGAACCTGCACTTTCTGTGAAATAGGGAAAAAATGTTATACATATATATAGCATGGAAAAAACTATACCTCCTATCTTCCAAAATGAGAAATACTTTCAGACTTGAACATGCCCTGTATCAGTCCAAGCAGCTGTTTGTGATCAAAGCAGCGTTTACCCTCCTTCCAATAATGTTTGGAGGGAAATTAGGTGGAGAGACTGCAACTTGTCCAAGGCAACCCAGTGAGCTAGAAGGCCAAGTTGGGATATGAACTTGATTGCCCATGTCCAAACTCAATACACTGGGCTCTAACACCATTTTGCTCATCAATACTTTTAGGTGGGGAATGGGATAAACTGTTTTTCTAAAGAGGCAGTGGAGTTAAAACTCACGATTCCTACTCTACAAATAATTTCCAATCCACTGAGGTGGAAAGTGAATGGACATAGCTGCTAATACAGGACTATGTGGTAGTGGTGCACGTAGGGCCACATGTGTTTTTCTTGAGTAAAGTCAGAACAAGATAGCCTCAAATGCGGCCGTCATACCAAAAAATATTCCAGTTTCTAATAATGCTAAGAAGAACATTACTGGATTAGGCCAAATATTCATCTGGACCATCATCTTGCTTCTCAAAATAACTAATCTGTGAACTGCCCTGAGATTTGCAGGTATAGGATAGTATACAAATTTAACAAATAATAAAAAATAATAATAACCAGGAGAATTCCTCAAGCAGGAGGTATTCTGCTTCAGAATTCTGTGGACAGTGAAACAAAAACTGACACTTATTTATGCTGAACTGTTTTATTATGAGGGCTAGTGTCCCACATTTTTTGCCCAGGACTTGATTGGCAATGTAAATTGGCTGGTGACCAAGACAGAGCCATGTATTTTATTACCATCTGCATATGGTAGAATTGGTAAAGGGCCCTGGCCCTTTCAGTGCACTGTGCAGAACAAATCAATTTCTGAAAATGCTTTTTTAAAAAGAAATGCTTGAAGAAGACACCCCACATGAGGCGAAAGCATCACAACCCCCACATACAAGTTCTAAACATACCAAAAAAGGTCAGGAAAAATATCCTGCTATATCTTTGGCATGTCCTGGCAAAACAGGACAACTAATTCTCTGTAGAAATTGACCGCAAAAGGATCACTGATCTTAACTCATTTAAATGACATCAAAGCATAGAAGCTTAGCTGCACTGGTTTCCCCCCTCCTTTTTTTAATTGGTGAAAATACAATGAAAAGGCACATAAAGCTTTAAAATCAGAGAGCAAAGGCTGACAGGCTTCTCTCAGTTATTGTCCTATGGGATGTAAGAGGAGGGTAGGCTGGGAAATGTATAAAAGGGGTTCCAGTTTCCATATTTAATGAACCATACTTAGCAAAACAATAGCAAATACTCCACAGTGTGGACTAAGGCTTTCACATGGGCTCTTCCAACTTTTTGGAACCTCTGGGATATGATCACTGTGTGCCTGGGGAAAGGAAATGTACATACGAAGTGCCCATCACTGCAGACTTGGCTCCAAGGCTGCCTCACACCATACGGAATATGGGAAGGTAACAAGTTCTGAATTAAATACAATGCTTGGGTCTTGTGACATCTACACACAATCAAATACCTATCAAATAGGTCTTAGTTATTAAAACAAGTTTCAAGAGTTTTTACCTAGCCTTCGTGCAAGCCCAAAGTCAATCAGCTTGATTCTTGTACCAGTCTTGTTGACACACATAATATTTTCGGGCTTCAAATCCAAATGAACAATGCCCTGCTTATGAATATACTGTACTCCTTCTGAGATCTGTTTCATGTATTTAATGCACTCTCTCTCTGTTAGCTCAAAGTCCTCATCAATGATTCTCTCAAAGAGTTCGCCTCCAGAAACGCTAAAATATAATTCAAAAGAGAAAGGTTTTTAAATTAACATTATTGTTTGGTAAAATTCCATATGAAGACAGTTTGCATGTGGTTTATTCTGGAGGATGAAAATACAGTTGGTGGGGTATGAACCAGTAGAGTGGTTTAATGCAGAACCATTAATATGTCCCCCAACATTCACCCAGTCTTCCCCCCTACTCTCAAACATCACATTATTGGGTCCTTTTTCTGGGAGCCCAGTAAGATGCAATCCCTCTGTGCACTAGAGCAAATAAAAAAAAGGTGGCACAGGTACTTCACTGTGACTTCCACAGGGCCCTGAAATTTGCCCTGCTCAGCTGATTTCAGGAAAAAGCAATGATCTCTCACCTCTTTCCTATTTCTCCCCTGCAGCTCCTCAAGGACCTCCCCCATTGTTAATCTTTCTCCAGTTTCCTGAGCCATTATTCAGTTATTCCTTATCAAAACATTTATCAAAACTTCCAACTCTTTCAAGCAAAACATATCAAGCTGGGATAGCTCAGTCGGTAGAGAATGCGACTCTTAATCTCAGAGTTGTGGGTTCAAGTTCCATGCATTGCATGGGGTTGGAGTAGATGGTCCTTGTAGTCTATTCCAACTCTACACTTCTATTATTCTATGAAATCATTTTATATAAACATACACAAGTTCTGTTTCCTTGAGACAGAAATTGGATTCTGACTAGAACTGGGTTTGCTGAACAAAAAATGCTCTCTGTACATGACCATCCACATCAGATGACATTTGAAACCGGAGATAATTTAAAATAAATTCTAAACTCATCTTAATAGATTAATTGAACAGTAAGTTAAGTAAATGAGCATAGACTTGTATATGGGAAAACACAGTATTTCTAATTTAGGAATTATATTGCCTTTGCTATTAGATGGTGCACACAAGTGTCACAACAGGCATTTTAAGTGTGGGATTGCCTCTTAAAATGATGCTTACCACCTCCAGTTTTTATAAGCACATATTAAAAACAGATACTTTTAGAAAAGTAATAGGATGCCTGATTAATCACTACACCTCTTCAGTTGATTAAATTTTTCTAAATGGATTAATACAATCAATTAGTTATACCCCTACTTTAGATTTCCTACTGTAGCAGAAGAAAAGGCTCCCTCAGCCTGAAAGTGAGATGAGCGCCACAACCCCATAGTTGCCTTTGACTGGACTCAGCTGTCCAGGGGTCCTTTACCTTTACCTTTTACATATGGAGATTCAAAGGTATAGGAATATTCTACGGCTTTGAAACTGCAGTGCGTGAGAAGCTAATGCTAAACTGCATATTATTCTTTATAATCATGTACTTTATTCTAATTTCTTTTTGAAGGGGAAAGATTCAGGAGGCAAAATAAATTAATGTTGTGCAAAGCTGTATGCAGTCCAGCAAACTTCATACATTCTCCCTATTTTCCATTAGCACTGCCAGTTCCCAGTTCCATGCTAAGTAGGATTGTTTCTTTTATTTTCTTACCCTATACTGTATAATTTATTTTACCCACTATCACCAACTTGGTCAAGGTTTAAATCTAAAAATAAACAACTATCTTCTGTTCAAGCAATGAAATTGCATAATAAGGATTCCAACTCTGATTCATGTCTTTTTGGGCTGTATTTTTATGCACCCTGTACATATGGCAACAAAGGGAAGGGAATTGTGTGCACCCTTTTGCTTAAAATTATTTTAACAGTTTGCTCCATTGATTTTTTTTAATGTATTTTTTATTAAAGATTTCTTGGTTTACAAAAGTATGTACAACGTCCTCCCCTTGTTAACAGAGTAAAAGAAACAACAGCAGTGGATCCTTCTGGTCCAACATTTTGGAAAATTAACAAGCTGAATCACCTCCTCCCAAATACTACTGTCACAAGAAAAAAGGTGATCTAATGAGAAACATGTGGATATCAAGTTATGCAGCCTAAAAAGGCTGTGACATAAAAACTCTGATCCAAAGAGGCCCATAATGTAGAGGATTAGCAGAAAATGGAAAATGCTGGGGTATCATTTAGCAGCAGTAATTCTGCACTGCAGAGGATGTTGGACTTCTGCTCCCATTAGCCCCAGCCAGCATGGCCAATGGTAAGGGAAAATGGGAGTTGTACCCTAGCAACATCCCTAATCTACTTGCAACAGATCTGTCCTGTAGACATGCAACATTTCAAATGATCATCTTTAATTATCCTTGTTACTTCCGCTGCTTCCGGCTGGGACAAATGGATTCATGCTAGCTGGAGGAAGTAAGGAGAGTGAGTATGGGAAGTAGTTGAAAAAGAAGCCAGAAAAACATTGCCAAGGCAAAAACCTCCTTAACTTTCAGATTTGGCAGAGAAAGGATTTGTAGACTGCCTATAGAAAGGAGATTGCAAGGATAAGGAGAGCTTCCAGTATAATACCATCTCCCCCTCTAGTGTGAATTCTTCCTGGTTGTTGAGGGTGCATGTGTGGTTCCAGAGGGAATTAACTCCTGCCATCTTCTTACCATATTGATCACCACTGATATGCAGCCATACTTCGGCAAAATGCAAGACATAAGTATTCCTAGTGGTGGTTCTTAGCAAATTCAAGTTTATCTGATTTTTAAAGGGTGTATCAGTGAAGAATGCAATATCTGACTACAGTGGTACCTCGGGTTAAGAACTTAATTCGTTCTTAACCTGAAACTGTTCTTAACTTGAGGTACCACTTTAGCTAATGAGGCCTCCCACTGCCGTTGCACTGCAGCCGCGTTTCTGTTCTCATCCTGAAGCAAAGTTCTTAACCCGAGGTACTATTTCTGGGTTAGCGGTGTCTGTAACCTGAAGTGTCTGTAACCCGAGGTACCACTGTAATGAGAAAACTGTGAAGAACAAAGGAAGAAGAACTTGTAGATATGTTAAGAGACCTAGGAGGCCTTCATTAGATTTTTAAAAAATAACATTGTTATGGGAAAGTAACAATAGTCTAATTTATACTCACAGTTCCAAGACCATGACAATGTTTGCTTTCTCTTCGAAGGCATCTACACACTGAACGAGTTTTGGATGGTGCAAACAGTTCATAATGCTGATTTCTTGCCTTATGTTTTCTTTATCCTTAGCTGAATATGCTTTAAAAAACTTTCCTGCCCAAACTTTTCCAGTTTTCTTCTCAACAAGTCTGAAGACTTGTCCAAATTTTCCCCTGCAAAATACAGAGGAATCCACATTAAGCTATTTCAGTGTCTGAGGGTCAGCACACAACACAGGCTGAAAGCATTAGAACATGCTTTTTTGATGTCCTGGAATGATTAATGTGACCTTGAACTCAGAAGATAGGACTTGCTGTGTTTTAGACCATATGCCCTGAGTCACACACAAACACATATTTTAGGGTGTATGGTGCAATACAGAGGAACATAGGAAGCTGCCTTATACAAAGAAGTGGTGGCTGGTCCATTAGGAGAAATGGTGCACTGCCCCACTAAACTCAGTCTGCCCTCAGCCAGCCTCCACCTGCCTGCCTGCTTTTTTTACAACCAGTCAAGGGAGTGGCACTGCTTGTTAGTGCTACCCTTGTAAAACTTAGTGGAGCAGAATGTTGTGGACAAAAGTAGAAATAGTTGGCTCCACCTTTCTTTGGCTCTGGCTCCATGTTTGGGCTCCCTGCCTTCTGTCCCACTAGCCCCAATGGACAGGAGTCATCACTGAGACTCCGTACCAGTAACTCTGCAGCTCTGTCTTATCTACTCTTGCAGCAGCTCACTAAGGTCTCAGAAAAGATCTTCCCAATCACCTGCTCCCTGCTCATTCTAACTGAAACACTAGGGACTGAATCTGGGACATTCAGCAAGCAAAGCATGTGGTCTCCCACTGAGCAATGGCCCCTCCCCATATTAGCAAAACTAAAATCTATTTTATTTATTTACTTGCATTGGGCTATGTCTGGAGAAAGCATTAGAACAGATGTGGGGAACCTCTGGCCCTCCATAACCCCCCCCAATATGTTGCTGGACTATAACTCCCATCACCCCTGGCTATTGGTAATGTTTGCTGGTACTGAAGGGAACTGTAGTTCAGAAACATATGGCAGGCCAAAGGTTTCCTGCACCTAGTTTATAAGATGCCAAATGAGATACACCTGGGATCTCATTACTTTTAGAGACCACCTTCTCTTGTATGGACCTACCTATGCTCTTAGAAAGTCAACTGAGGTCCTGCTCCATATCAAGTTAAGAGGATTGATATACGGGACAAAACATTCACAAGTATTGTACCCCAGCTCTGAAGCTCCTTAATTTGGCGCACTAACTATGGTTGTTCTGTTTCAGATGTGTATAGGGAAGTGGGCTAGTTTTGTCTTACAGTGTTTTATTTTAATGGGTTAGATCCAAAGTTGCACTTCTGCAAATGGAAGGGCCTTGGAAGGAGGCAATTTTCAGTGATTTACAACTGGCCTTCACTGAGCAGTATCATCATAGCTCATATATTTTGGGGATTATAGCCACTAGCAGCAAGGAATCTCTCCTAAAGGCAAGGCAAAAGGCTGAATCTCGTAATCTCTAGTAGTTATAACGAAACCATAAAAATTGCACAGTGCTGTTCAGTCAAACACAAATTAAATTGGTTTTATATATTTGTAAGCCTTGAGTACTCTCTTCAACACAGGCAATTTTGAAACCATCTAGGAACCGTGAAAGAAAGGAAGAAACTCATTCACAAGGTTAGACTATACCTCGGGTTAAGAACTTAATTCGTTCTGGAGGTCCGTTCTTAACCGGAAATTATTCTTAACCTGAGGTACCACTTTAGCTAATGGGGCCTCCTGCCGCCGCCGCGCTATTTCTGTTCTCATCCTGAAGCAAAGTTCTTAACCCAAGGTACTATTTCTGGATTAGCAGAGTCTGTAACCTGAAGCGTCTGTAACCTGAAGCATCTGTAACTTGAGGTACCACTGTAGAAGGAACCACCAGTGGTGGAACCAGGAAAAAAAAACTGGAGTGGGGTGGGGTTTAGAATAGCCAAATGGTATTTCTGGGGTGGGGGCATGGACAAGCTATGGCCCGTGTGATACATTTCTCAGAAAGAACTCATGGTATGTTTCACATTAACACTCCCATCCTAAACGTATTTTCTCTGAAGCGCAGCCACATTGATTTTGATGGAAGTTAACTGTCAAGAAAACATGCTTAGAAGAAAATGCATATTGCTACACTTACGATCCCAGTCTTTCTTCAACATTGTAGGAGTCTGAAACTTTTTGTTCTGTATTGATAGTCACTGTCCGATAGTCAAATTCTGTTTCCTTCTCTTCTAGAAGTTGGCAGGGAAAAAACACATCTGATTACGAGGAGGCCCACGCACTGCAAACATAGTATGGTGAAAGAGCAATTTCTTACCATCATCAGATCCTTCAGCTTCTTCTTCTTCTTCTTTGGGACCTATAACCAAATATAAATGTATATGTCTATAAAGAGTGCCTTCTCATACCATCTTTATTCCCCCCTTTAAGGATTAAAAGTTGAATTCTGTATGTGAGTTCCTCGTCTCTCGACAAGGCTACAGGGATGACATCAGCAACTGGCATGCATGGGCAACTG